GTCATTGCGTCTCGTTTGTCGACGCCACGTTTTCCGAATTCATGTGGAAAGCGTTCGCCAAGAACTTGCTCGGCACGTGCGTCCTCGACGAGATGGCATGGACCTCGTGTGCTTTGTCTGCGTCCCAGGTCACGGGGATGGCGCCGGCGTTGCGCGAGTGGATCACACGTGGTATCCGCAAGATCTCGTTCGTCGACTGTGCTTTTCAAGAAGACCATTTGTGTGCTCTTGCGGCGGCCATTGCTCGTACGACAAGCCGCGTTGGTGTCCGCATTCGCATTGAGGACAAGGTCCAGCGCTTCAAGAATACAACCTACATCCTCCTCGGTCAAGCACTTGCCTCGTGCCGTGGCGTCTCGATCGAGCTGCCGCCAGTGCTGGGCAACAACTGGCGCGACGAGCTCGGAACCATCGACAACCTTGCGTTCGACCACTTGATGGTTGACGGCCGACCACGTCTCGTGCTGGCGAGCGTCGCGTAAGCGTTTAGTTGCGGGCCCAACTTTTCTCAAAAATCAATTTGCATGTTTTCAGTGGATGCGTGAACTCAGTTTTTGCTCTCGTCCAGAAAGAGTTTAGGGTAGAATCGACAATCCAGGTCCAACGCCATCAACTTTGTACTGGCAGGGAGTTGTTGTTCTTGTTGCAAACCGGCGGGACTGCACCCTAGCCGTCAAGAAATTTTCTTGACGGCTAGTACCATTGGAATAGCTGATTGGAATCTCTGAAAAGCACGATCTTTTGTGAAACATGTGTTAAGCTGTGCGAACCTCACATTTAATGTGAGATTCGCACAGCTCAACACATGTTTCACGTAACCGTCGACGGTCAACGTGTCGTGACCATCTGGAACCGTAAGACGTCGTGGCGGCGTCTGCAAGGAGTACCACACGCGGTGTATGCTGCATCGCCCCATGACATCACCCAATATTTATTCTGTGCCGTCCTCCATCCAACTATACGAAGCGCGACAATGCTACATGCAAGCGGCAGGATACACACAAGAGACTATTCCTTTCGATACACAGTTGGTTAGACGCTATGCCCTGGGCTCTTGAGTACGACGCGGTAAATGCGGCCACGAAGGTTCTCGCAGCGTGACGCCACCGGCAGAGCAGTCGACCGTGAGCGAGCGGATTTGATGTGTGGTCGTCACGACCTCCACGACCGCGGCCACGTCGACAGCATGACGTACGTCGGTGCTCTGAAGCTTGGCGAGGCGCGGGCGGATGGCGAGTTGGCCATGGAGGACATACTCGGTGATCTTGCTGCTCCAGAGTTGCAGCCACTCAGAGGCGTCGAGCTCGAATGGCCGCGCGATCGGGCCGTTGCCGGCGACGGCCGCGAGAAAGACCGGTATCGTGTCACATACAAGAACGACCGCTGTTGGCGCGATGGCATCGAGCCAGACAAGAGGCCACAGCTTGTCCATGGCCTCCTGCTTGGACTCGATGGGATCTTGCATGACCCAGAGGGCATCCTGGAGGAGCTCGTGGAGTGCTGTCAGCGATGTACTACGCGCCGATGCAGGGATCACGGCCAGAAAAGCGAGCACGTCGCGCGACGCTGCCGTGTACTGGACGATGGTCCGAAGGACGTGGTGCAAGTTGCAGACCACACCCGAGACCGTCGACACGCGCTTGCTGCAGCTCATGGATCGTTCGTTGGCGCTGGGAAATGCAAACTGACGATGGAATAGTCAGCTCATCGGTCCATCAAACTCAAAAGATTTTTTTCTCTTTCAACAAAAACCCAACCCTTGGTATTGGCGATCCCTCGTTTTCTCCATTCCGTTGCGAGCCGTGCCGCATAGTAGGCTTGTGTACTTGGATCGATGACTTCTATATCGTCTTTCTACCAGTCGTACCAAAGTCGCGTAGTCGAGCTTCGAGGAGAGACGCTTGTTTTTAACCCTATCCCTGGCACAACGACAGGTCCATCCCAAGAAGATATGACACAGCAAGACCGACTCTAGATCTTTGTTCAAACAATCGCACGTACGTCTTCCCGCATGTGGCCGTCGGTGACGTCGCATGCACTGGGTTGAGCTACCAAAAGCTGCGGTTATCCAAGTAGGGATAGGGTAGGTCGGTTGCGCTCGCCCTTGAACCTGCTGCTGTAGTATCCCTCAGACGCATCTGTACACAACCACAAAGCGATCAAGCACGCAAAAGCGTTTGAGGATGATAAACCAATTCTACCGAATTGCATCGATCCTTCAACATCCGCCAGGCAGGTAGAGTGTCATTCACACACAAGAAGACGACTGCAATTGCATAAAATTAAGACGAAAACACACAAAACAACTACGGCCTACGCGGCGCACGCAGGGCCCTCGAGCACGAGACGGTGGACGCGGCCTCGGACTATCTGATGGTGGCACGCAATCTGGTACTTGGCGGCCATGTCTTGGATCTCGGCCACGACGCGTTCGTCGCCCGCGCAGTTCATGAACGGCGGGAGCTTGATCGTGACGCCGCGGCTCGACGCGAGGGCTCGGCCAAAGAGCAGATACGTCTGCATCGACAGGTCGCTGTCGATATCGAGGACGACGCCAACGGAACTCGAGCAACCTGGAAGAGCTCGCAAAAGCGCCGACGCTGCGTGCTCTGTCGTGTCGTAGATGGCGAGCTTGCGGACGCCACGCTCGATCCATCGCGCGAGCCACTTTTCGACTTGGTACTCGACACCGACGAGGAAGACGGTGCAGTCATGGAAAATGATCTCGTCCAGGAGGCACGGGCCGGCCACATGCGCTGCGAACGCGTCCCACGCCGTGGGCGAGAACGCAGTCTTGTTGAGCGTGACGCGTCGGAGCGTCGGCGGAAGCAAAGCCGACGGAAGCATACTCGAGGTGCGGAAGCGGCCAAACGAGACGGTCAAGGCCTCGAGCGCTGGCAGGACCACGAGTGGACCCGAGATATCGCTGGGATCCCCGTGTCCACAGTAAACGTGCAGCGACTGGAGCTGCGTCGCGTTGAGGCGAGCGAGAAGCTGCGCGTACGCGGGCAAGGCGTCGGCGCACCCCGCCAAGTGCAAGCTGGTGAGGCGTCTAAAGGACGGCGCGACGGCCATGAGCGGGTCGAGGAACCCGGACTTGTGGAATCGGAACGTGAGGCTGGTGAGCGTCGTCGTCTTGCGCAGCACCGTCGCCAGCTCGTCGCTTCCGGTGGAGCCAAAGTACGTCAGGTCCAGGACCTCGGCGTAGCCCGACTCGAGCCATCGGCGGACGGCCGCCAACGCCGTGGCGTCGCCGTCTTTGCACACTGCCTCTAGGGAGTAGTGGTCGGCCGTGAGGACGGGCTCGCCGGCGGCCCGGTCGTCGTCGGCAGGTGCTGTCGGAGCGTGGGTCGAGGGGACCGGGTCGGGGCCCTGGACTGTCTTGGTCGGGCTGTTGTTGCTGCTCATGCTGGACGGAAACTGACCGCAAAAGATCTGTTCTCTCTCAGACTCAAACTCAAACTCAGTTTCCGTACAATGGGGACATATTTTCTCAATTTCGACGAACGCACACAATATTGCGGCCTTTCTTCCATGAAAACCACGCGAATCCATTAGGGGTATATTTAAACACAAACATGGACAACCTGTGCACGTTCAATACCGAGCCGAATGGAACGACACTACGTTGTCGCGATGGGACGGCGTATCTCAAAAATTGGCACAAGCTCAAAAATAGAAAAAGGGCGGGAAAAACAAACCGATCGAGAACGGGACGCCCAAAGCGCAATCACTCGGCGCGCTCCACGAGCTCTTGGCCGACCCCGCGCGGATCATGCAGCGCGACTGTCGGCAGTGCCATGCTCAGCAGGATCCGACAGCATCCACTGAAAACATGCAAATTGATTTTTGAGAAAGTTGGGCCCGCAAGTAAACGCTTACGCGACGCTCGCCAGCACGAGACGTGCTCGGCCGTCAACCGTCAAGTGGTCGAACGCAAGGTTGTCGATGGCTTCGAGCTCGTCGCGCCAGTTGTTGCCCGCCCGTCGATGGACGGCTTCTTGCGCCGCTGTACCCGTCTCTCCAGCGTCAACGTGGGATCGACGGTGTCGGTCCTGGACGCGGTCACAACGCCGTCGATTCGACGTTGACGCAAGAAGCCGTCCATCGACGGGCGGGCGACGTCGTAGGAGCTATCGTGCAAGTACGTGACGGCGGCAAAGACCGGCATCGCCTCCACCGCAAGGGCAGCGCCCGCAAACGTGAGCTCGTTTAACTGCAAGACAGGCCACAAGAGCTCCGTGAACTCCTTCGTTCGCTCGACGGGTCGGCCAAAAGGATCGGGCCACGGGGTCGACCAAGAGCTCGTGAAGCGCCGCAAGTGGCGTGGGGCGCGCATAGGCCGGGAGCAAGGCCGTGACGTCCTTGGGTGAGGCCATGTACTGGACGACGACGATGAGAAGTTCTCCGAGGTGCAGCACCGTCGCCGTGGCCACGGCTTGCCGCTGGCTTGCGCTCGTTTCCGTGTCGGGCCGAATCTTCTCAACTGTATCCTTGTCGCACTCAAATCGCAACACTGAAACTCAATCGGGTCGTCCAGTTCTCAACACGCACACTGCCACCTCGACAACTGCAACAACAACAACAACACGACTGCAACCAACGTCCAAATCCACATTCAAAAGGCAACAACCGTCTTCTTTTGAAGATGCAATTCATGTATTTTGAGATAAAGCGAGATGCAACCACGCAGACCTAGCCAAAGACGTCGCGCTGGCCTTCTTCTTCGGCGTCGCCGGCGGCTTCGTCGACCGACTCCATCGCGCTAAAGTTGTAAAAGTGCGTCTTGCGGTGCACTTCGTGGTAAAACTCCTTCGGGTTGCCGACCTTGACGTCGTACTTCATGCTCGGCGTGTGCTTGACGCCCATAAAGTTGTAGTTCCACACTTCTTCGTCCGGCACCATGTAAAAGCCCACAAAGCGGTCCGAGAGCAGCATCTGCACCTTCTCGTAGTGCGTCGGCAGATACCCCGGCGGGCTCGGACCCGTGTCCTTGTTGGCGCGGCCCCACTCGTAGCCCGCGGGCGTCAGCTTGTACGCGGTGAGCGACGCCGACCCGGGCGTGAAGCTGCACGTGATCGCAATCGTCTTCTCGCCGTCCCACGACGCGTTCTCGGCCATAAACTTGGCGTGGAACGACACGTCTTGGGGCGCCAGCGCCGGCGTCTCGTTCGGCTGCGTGTGGATCCAGCCGAGCGCCTCGAGGTTCTCGAGGTACTCGTGGCTCGGCGCCGCCATCGGGATCGTGACGCTCTGATGGGTCCCGAGCTGCGGCGGCACGACAATGCACCGAATCTCCTTCACGTGCGGGTTGTCGGGCGGCGAGACACCGTAGATGAGGCCGCCGATCTGCGTCCGGAGGTCCGCGACCGTAATGAACTTGTTGAGAATGTTCTTGGGCAAGACATACGTAAAGCCCGACTCGCGAATGTCGTCCGAGTTGACGTAAATGTGGTTGGTACGCAAGTGCAAGTTGGTGGCCGAGATCGCACGCACGCGCCAGTCCGTCTTGCTCGCAAACGAGTGCTGCTCGTACTGCGACGTGGTCGTGACCACCATGCCGTCACCGTGCACGTTGACCGTCTTGGTCGTCACCGCCGTGAGCTGCGACTGCTCGCGCGCCTGCGCCTCGACCTCGGCGACC